GAGGGTGCTCCCTTCCAGGCCACCTGGGTCCCCCTCACCTGGAGCGATCCTGCTGGGCAAGCAGCATGTCCAGGCCTTCCAGGGCCACTCGGATCATCTCAAGCTGTGGCTTCCTCATCAGGGCCCCCAGAGGCAGGTAGGTAAAGGGCCAGGCCTGCACCATTTTCTTCAGGACCTCAGTGTGTCCCCTGCTGAAGGCCTCCACAAAGAGTGGTGGGAAGAGCTCTATGGGCAGGTCCTCCAGATCCAGGATGGCCCTGGACTTGTCACTCAGCAGGCTGCGCCCTGCTAGCTCCAGCAGCGTGGGTGGGGACTGGATGCTCATCTTGGGGAGTCTGAAAGAAGAAGGATCCTGGAAAATGGTCCAGGGAAAAGGCCACTATCCCATCCATTGCCAGCCACTGGGAAGGGGGGTACTGGGGAGTCTAAAACTCACCCCAACCTTAATAGGGGAAAGCTTTGCTTATTATTTTGTCCTTATTAAATGAAAATTGGAGTGTCATGTTACTTAATGCAGTAGGATCCTCTGTTTCAATAACTATTGTGGCTCAGAAAGAGTTGCCCTCACATGGGTGATGTTATTTTTAATTTCAGAAAGTTAAATAAGCAATTATAAAGCATGTGCCCATATTATAAAACACTTGGAAATTACAAGAGAGTCTCAAGGATGTCTGTTACACATGTGAGATTCTGTCACCTTAGGGGGTATTGAAGAGAACAAACAGATCAGAACAGAGCCTGTGAACTGTTGCATGAGGTAGTTTGAAGCTTTTTGTTTAGTTTTTTTAAACAAACTATAAAATTACAAAACTAAATAAGCTATAAAGTATAATTTTGTATTAGACGATATTGGCAATTGAATTCAGGACACTCAACCAGTAAATCACTGCCCACAGCCATATTGCATTTTAGCTGGAGACAGGGCCTCACTGATATGTTATCACCTCGTGCTGCTGTGGCTGGCTTTGAACTCTAATTCTCTGGCCTCCTCAAACTCTGAGGTGTTGGAATTACAGGCGTGTGCCACCACACCCAGCAAAACAGTATAATTTTAATGGCACACAAAATAAATATTTTTATTATCAGAAAATAGAATTCCAATCAATTAGAATAAATAGGATTGCAATCCACTTCCTTGGTTAAGTAATTTTAAATTGGCTTTGCCTGGAGCTCAGTGGAAGAGCACTTTCCTAGGACATGTGAGGCACTGGGCTTGATCCTCAGCAGCACGTAAAAATTATTAAATGTTGGGCTGGGGACATACCTCTGTTGATAGAGTGCTTGCCTCACATGCACAAGGCCCTGGTTCAAACACCATGCCACCAAATAAATAAATGAATAAATAAATAAATTATATTGTCCATATAAACTTAAAAAAAACCAACAATTGAGAAAAAGAAAAAGTACGGGGCGTGTGTGCACAAGCCTATAATCCCAGGGTCTCCTGAGACTGAGACAGAGGGATAATGGGATCAAATTCAGCCTCAGCAAGAGCAGGCACTAAGCAACTCAGTGAGACCCTGTCTCTAAATAAAGCACAAAACAGGGCTGGGGATGTGGCCCAGTGTTTGAGTGCCCCTTGGTTCAATAGCCAGTACCAAAGAAAGAAAGATAGAAAACTGAAAGTGACATAAACCAAAGTGGAAATCCTAGTGTTCAGGATCAAGGTAAAACTACACTGAGAGGCAAAATCTACGTTCTAAATTGGTTAATGAGAAAAGACAAGAACAAAATTGTTCCTGAATCCACACAGGTGAGGGGGGAACCGGGTGGTGCTCAGGGCGGTGAGGGACTTACGGGATCTGTCCAGGTGTGCAGGGTTCTCGGAGCCTCAGCAGGCCAGGCTGGTTCTCCTTGGGCTCCAGGACTCTTGTGTTTCTCTTCTGGCTCCACAGAAGCTTTTATGGACCTCTCTGACCACACCCCCACCTCCATCTGATTGGCTGGCATCCAATCAGAAAGCAGTATCTGATCAGGTTCTCCAGTTTCCACCCACTTAATCCTAATCAGATTGTCTTCCTCCAGATTGATTGATTGAATCCGATCTCATGAAAGTGCGCAGAATCCAGGAGAATGTGACAGTCAGGGATGTGTCCTTCCAGCACTCCACACCATGGACTCAAATTTGTCCATATGTGACCCTCCTGTTTCTCCCGTGAGAGAGAAAAGCACCAAGTCCCTAAGGAAAAACAACACCTGAAAATATCTTTCAAAGGGGTCTTTGGCCATATCAAAATTATTTGAATTTTTCTTTTCTGAAAATTCCATAGTAAAAACAGCTTTTTGAAGACAGTAGTGTCATCCACGAAGACCACAGAATGGAAACCATATTTACTACAGTCACACAAGTTTTGAGTTACCTTGCAGCAAATCTGGGAGAGGAAGAGCAGACAAGGAGGGTGGAATCAGTCTTCCAGACTTAGGGCAAAACTTCTCCTGTTTGACTGTCTGTACTGGGATTGAACCCATTGGTGCTCTACACTGAATCACATCCCCTGCTCTTTTTGTTTTTTGCTTTTATTTGGAGATAGGGTCTCACTAAAATGCTTGGGTCCTCACTAAGTTGCTGTGGCTGGCTCAAATTTGCCATCCTCATGCCTCAATCTCAAGAGTTGCTGTGATTATAGGCATGGGCCATAGTGCCCCATCAGACTTGGAAAAGTCTGAAACCCACCCAGGGTGGAAACTGTGGGCAACTTGGGAATGGGAGAGAAAGACACAGGGTTGGACAGCAGGTGTTACTGAAATCAGGGAGGCCACCCACTGGAGAGTCTTCCTGCAGAATCAGGGACCTGAGGGCACATCTCCCAGCCAGCTTTGCTCTAGGCA